CAAAGCTTTGCCCCCTCCCCAAAATATATATAAAACATGCTTCAAATCGCTTTAAACTATTGTCATTGTAGTGCGTATTTAATGCGGCGCTGCACTTTGATGTTGTAGGAGAAAACATTTATTAAAAAGTCTATTTCATTAGGCAGAACGTGTTGTCTATATTTATTCAAAGTTGCGCATTTTGATGTGACGTCACATTACTCAAACCCCCTCCCCCCCTCGTCACACATCGTCACAATGTCCGACACCCCCCCTCCCCCAGGTGCGTGACGTCATTTATGGACGGCCTCTTGTGTGTCTGTGTGTGTCATGAGCGCGGCCTCACAGTGGATTCGTTCGGCAATCGGAAGCCAACGCAGCTCGGCGAGCAACGGACGGTCACGGGGTCGGATCTTGCAGGAACCCGTCACGACCACGTGCCAGGGAATTCTGTACACGCCGCAGCTTGCACGTGGCTTTTTTTGTTTGCCAGACGTCCCGTAGAGCAGCGAGTTGCAATGACAGAGCCTTGTCGATGCACTACGCAACACGCCGCCGTTAAAACCACTCACTCTACCGAGTCACAAGATTCGGTTCTCACGAGGGTGATGCTGCTACATCTTGGCTACGTACGGCGCGAAAGAAGTTCAATACACATGCACACACCGCACCTCCGATTAGCGCGGTTGGCTACGTATGGTGCGAAAGAAGTTCAACATACATATGTACATAGACTCACCCAGAGACCCACAGTTTGTTGTCCTTCCCCCCGCACCTCCGATTGGCACGGTTGGCTACGTACGGTGCGAAAGAAGTTCAACATCTATATGGTCGAGGTGGTGGAGGGGGAGGGGGGGTTGCCAATCGAAACTCCGCGCAGGATGGATTCAAGAATCTGTTCAATTGCAGTGTGAACGACAAGCCTACGTACGTACAGTGAGGGAAAAAAAGTATTTGATACCCTGCTGATTTTGTACGTTTGCCCACTGACAAAGAAATGAGCAGTCTATCATTTTAATGGTAGGTTTATTTGAACAGTGAGAGACAGAATAACAACAACAAAAATCCAGAAAAACGCATGTCAAAAATGTTATAAATTCATTTGCATTTTAATGACGGAAATCAGTATTTGACCCCCTCTAAATCAGAAAGATTTCTGGCTCCCAGGTGTCTTTTATACAGGTAACGAGCTGAGATTAGAAGCACACTCTTAAAGGGAGTGCTCCTAATCTCAGCTTGTTACCTGTATAAAAGAGACCTGTCCACAGAAGCAATCAATCAGATTCCAAACTCTCCACCATCGCCAAGACCAAAGATCTCTCCAAGGATGTCAGGGACAAGATTGTAGACCTACACAAGGCTGGAATGGGCTACAAGACCATTGCCAAGCAGCTTGGTGAGAAGGTGACAACAGTTGGTGCGATTATTCGCAAATGGAAGAAACACAAAATAACTGTCATTCTCCCTCGGCCTGGGGCTCCATGCAAGATCTCACCTCGTGGAGTTGCAATGATCATGAGAACGGTGAGGAATCAGCCCAGAACTACACGGGAGGATTTTGTCAATGATCTCAAGGCAGCTGGGACCATAGTCACAAAGAAAACAATTGGTAACACACTACGCTGTGAAGGACTGAAATCCTGCAGCGCCTGCAAGGTCCCCCTGCTCAAAAAAGCAAAGATACATGCCCGTCTGAAGTTTGCTAATGAAAATCTGAATGATTCAGAGGGCAACTGGGTGAAAGTGTTGTGGTCAGATGAGACCAAAATTGAGCTCTTTGGCATCAACTCAACTCGCCGTGTTTGGAGGAGGAGGAGGAATGCTGCCTATTACCCAAGAACACCATCCCCACCGTAAAACATGGAGGTGGAAACATTATGCTTTGGGGGTGTTTTTCTGCTAAGGGGATAGGACAACTTCACCGCATCAAAGGGACGATGGACGGGGCCATGTACCGTCAAATCTTGGGTGAGAACCTCCTTCCCTCAGCCAGGGCATTGAAAATGGGTCGTGGATGGGTATTCCAGCATGACAATGACCCAAAACACAAGGCCAATGCAACAAAGGAGTGGCTCAAGAAGAAGCACATGAAGGTCCTGGAGTGGCCTAGCCAGTCTCCAGACCTTAATCCCATAGAAAATCTGTGGAGGGAGCTGAAGATTCGAGTTGCCAAACGTCAGCCTCGAAACCATAATGACTTGGAGAAGATCTGCAAAGAGGAGTGGGACAAAATTCCTCCTGAGATGTGTTCAAACCTGGTGGCCAACTACAAGAAACGTCTGACCTCTGTGATTGCCAACAAGGGTTTTGCCACCAAGTACTAAGTCATGTTTTGCAGAGGGGTCAAATACTTATTTCCCTCATTAAAAGTGCATATAAATGTATAACATTTTTGACATGCGTTTTTCTGGATTTTTGTTGTTGTTATTCTCTCTCACTGTTCAAATAAACATACCATTAAAATTATAGACTGATCATTTCTTTGTCAGTGGGCAAACGTACAAAATCAGCAAGGGATCAAATACTTTTTTCCCCTCACTGTACAGGCGCCTGTTTATTCACAGTCACTTCCCCCCCCCCCCCCAAATCCGAGTAACTAACCAGGCCAACAACAACAACAAACAACAACGAAAACCTCGTGCAGCCTCCCAGATCGGGCGCGTATCATGCCCGGGCCATTTGGTGTGGTGGTGGACGCGGGGGTGAGACTCGTGATGCACCCAGGGGTGTCCGCCGGGAGTGGAGATGACAACTCCAGCGGTGCCCCCCCCCCTCCCCCGGACTCCGTTCAAAGTAAGAAAGAAATCCACGCGTTCAATGCAGGCGATACCCCTCTCCCCACCCCACCTCTCCCTTCCCCTACCCATGTCTCCCCGAAGCCGAGGGACCATCCGAGACGATGCTCACAACACGCACGGAGAGGCTCTTCGAGGACGGCGGGCGACGGGAGCGAGCGAGTAAGCGAGGTAGGGGGGGGCACAGCGCGAAGGGATTCATAGTAAAAGGTTTCCATGGGAGTGAGATCACGAAAGTAAAAATGCGTCGAAGCCCTCCGCCACCCGACACGGCCAAATCGGCCGGGGATTTGTCACGTAAACAAAAGGCCAAATAGTTTACAACTTCAGCCCACCGGAGCGTCGAAGAACGAATCCACAACATTTACAATCTGAGTATCGACGTTTTCGCCGCTAATTACATCCAGCGTCATCGGGCGATTTGCCAGAATTCCATGAATAATATTGGTCGCGAAAGCCTCCGCGTTGGACTGAGCACGATGGGAGTCTGCAGCGTGGCCTTGTTTAAAGGGGGGAGCTCGGGGGGGGGGGGGGGGGGGTGGTGGAGAGAGGAGCGGGGGTTGGTGCATTGACAGACTCGGGCTGGGTGGCGGGGGGCATGCACGACACGCGGCGGACGTTACCGATGTGAGTCGAATACGAAACGCTTTAAAACGCCGCGTGTACGAGGTGGAACGGCTGCGACGCCCAACGATGATCTTATTTCGCGTTGCTTTTTGTCCACCAGCCCGCCCGCCCGCCCACAACATTCAGGTAAAGACGTTGTTGAAATGATTTAGAAAGGGGTTTGGGGGTGCGAGGGAGATCAGCTGCCTCCCAGCCCCCCTCGACGCCACGGAGGGCTGCTTGGAAGAAACGCTTTGGTCGTGCACGGCAGAGAGACACACACAGAGATAGAGAGAGACACACACAGAGGAGATGGAGAGAGACAGAGAGAGACAGAGAGAGATGGAGAGAGACAGAGACAGACACACACAAAGAGATGCAGAGAGACAGAGATAGAGACAGAGAGAGACACAGAGAGATGGAGAGAGGCAGGGAGAGACACACAGAGACAGAGAAAGAGACACACAAAGACAGAGAGAGACACAGAGAGATGGAGAGAGACAGAGAGAGACACACAGAGATAGAGATAGTAACACACAGAGACACAGAGACACAGAGAGATGGAGAGAAACAGAAAGAGAGAGACACACAGAGAGATGGAGAGAGACAGAGAGACACACACAGAGACAGAGAGAGACACAGAGAGATGGAGAGAGACAGAGAGAGAGACACACACACAGAGATGGAGAGACACACACACACAGAGATGGAGAGAGACAGAGAGAGACACACACAGAGAGATGGAGAGAGACAGAGAGAGACAGAGGAGATGGAGAGAGACAGATGAGATGGAGAGAGACAGAGAGAGAGACACACAGAGAGATGGAGAGAGATAGAGACACACAGAGAGATGGAGAGAGACCGAGAGAGACACACAGGGAGATGTAGAGAGATAGAGACACACACAGAGAGATGGAGAGATATAGAGACACAGAGAGATGGAGAGAGACAGAGAGACACACAGAGAGATGGAGAGAGATAGAGACACACAGATAAATGGAGAGAAATAGAGAGAGACACACAGATGAAGAGAAACACATAGAGAAAGATGGAGAGAGACAGAGAGAGACACACAGAGATATGGAGATAGACACACAGAGAGAGATGGAGAGAGATAGAGACACACAGAGAGATAGAGAGAGACAGAGAGAGACACACACAGAGAGATGGAGAGAGATAGAGACACACAGAGAGATGGAGAGAGACACAGAGAGACACACAGAGAGATGGAGAGAGACAGAGAGAGACACACACAGAGAGATAGAGACGGAGAGATGTAGAGGAGGAAAGATAGACGGAGGAAGAAAGGAAGATGTGAAGATAGGGAGAGTTGGAGGAGAGGAAAGATAGAAGAGAGATGGGAAGGTAGTGAGAGATGGATGGATAGTTTGATACATAGTAAAACACCTAAATACAGAGGTGGAGAGAGAGACAGACAGACAGACACCTACAGAGAAAGAGGCATTGGGATGTAGAGACAGAGATAGAGAGACAGCGATGGAGAGACAGCGATGGAGAGACGGACGGACGCATCTAGAGACGCCAAAGGCTACACGAAGAGTTAGAGAGAGAGGAGGGGGATGCGACCGGAGGGCATGCACAGCCGACACTGCGACTCACTTCCAGTCGCGACGTTGATGATGGTCTCGGTGGTGGCAAGATTATCTCTGTCCAGTTTGCGAGCCTCCAGCACATCCTGGTATCCGTAATGGTCCAGCAGCTGCTGCAAAGGCGGCGCCTTGGGCAGGAGCCTGTTGACAGTGTCTCGACTGATGTTGGGCGCCTGCTTGAGCCTCAGCTCGCTCAGGATCTGCGACCTGATGGACTCGAGGCGCCAGACCTTGCTGTGTTCTCTCCTAGAGCACACCGAACAGTTGCCGTCCAGGTCCAGTAGCGACAGATCGCTGGTGCCTGCTTCCACGCCGTCGTGCGTGGCATTGTGGTGGCCGCTGCTACTGCTGCTGCTGCTACTGCTGCTGCTACTGCTGCTGCTGCTCCCAAGTTTGCTTTGACTCTGCATGAGGCCAATCGTCAGCGCGCAGAGAAGGTTTGAGATGAAAAGTAGCGAATGCATTGCTGTTGTTGTTGACGCTTAAACTTTGTTTTCACTGTTGCCTGCTAGTGATGATGCTGCTGATGATGATGAGTCTGCTGTTGCTGCTGCTGTTGTTGCTGCTGGTGCTGATGATGATGATGAAGCTGATGCTCCTGCTGATGATGATGATAATGCTGCTGTTGCTGCTGCTGCTGGTGATGATGATGCTGATGAGAGCTAAGTCCCCCTCGCCTCTTTGCAACAACAACAACACACACACAAACCGCTGCTGCGCTGTTGCACCGAGCTCCACTGGACATCTAAATGACACGCATGCTACCCATGAGGTCTCTTATATATCATCAGCTGCTCTTCATTATCGCGAGAGAGCGTGCCAGCCATTGGCTGATGTTCCCACAAAGGACTGCGCCCGCAATGTTAATAGCGTTGCCAATCTAAAAAACCGGACGCCTTCCACGAGCCGACGTTTATTACTCCGTCAAAAAATATTAAAATGTACGCGCGCACGGCGCCCCCCCCCCCCACTCCCCCCTACTGTTGTCAATCCACTGCTGGATGGAAGGGCTGCAACACCGCCCCCCCCCCACTCCCTTCTACTCCACGTTCATCAAACAACAAAACAACTCCTATGGCTTTGTTAGTCATTGGAGGGGGGCGGTGGGGAGCGGTGGGGGAGAGGGGGGGCTTGACCATACTTCACCACGATGGTTTAGAGGTTTGGAGACAGGGGGGATGGGGTGGGGGGGAACGAACCCAGGACCGGTTCTGACAGAATATCGCTCGCCGCCAATTTAAGCCGCGGCTGGGAATCGAACTCCGGGGTCGTCCGTCGGATCTGGCACGTAGCGCTAACCGCAGCGCCACCGCTCCTCACGAATAACGCACGGACAACGTCCACACCACCTCCCACCACCACCACCCACCCACCACCACCTCTCCCCACCACCACCACCACCCACCCACCACCACCACCACCACCCACCACCACCACCCACCCACCACCCACCCACCCACCACCACCAACAACCAACACCCACCACCCACCACCACCACCAACCAACACCCACCACCCACCCACCACCACCACCCACCCACCCACCCACCACCACCACCAACCAACACCCACCACCCACCCACCACCCACCCACCACCACCACCACCCACCACCACCACCCACCAACCACCCACCCACCAACCACCACCCACCAACACCACCCACCACCACCACCGGTGCGCTTCGATGCTTTTGTGTTTGTTTGCGTAAAACGACCGAGAGAAGGGGGCGAGGTGCGCACACATCGACTGCGCCTCTGCACCTCTGCACCGCCCTCCGTGCCCAGGAGGAGTTCGGCTTCTTTCTATCTTCGCGCGCGTTTCCTTCGAAACGCTCTCGCAGCGCAAGACGCTTTGCGCGGCGTTTCCTTTGTCCGCGTGCTGTCGCCCCACGCTCGTCATCCAGCAGTGGAGCGACAGGGCGCGCGCACGGCACACGCGCATGTTCACTTGCATGACGCGCATGTTCACTTGCATGTTTACTGCATGTTCAGTGCGTGTTCAGTCCACGCGCGTGCAGCCTGCGTTGTGTCAATCCACTTGCTGAATGAGGGGCATCATCCCCCTCCACACGCGCGCCTTGCGTGGCAAGCTAGGGGGAGAGAGAGAGAGGGAGACACCTTGACCATACTTCACCGCTGTGGTCAGTGCGGGTTGGTGAAGAAGGCGTTGTTTATTGGATGGGGGAGGTGTGGTACATTTAGATTTTGCAGCACTGCTCTCTGCTGGCCAGAGTGGCTCCTACAGTCCACAGGGACTCCTCTGCGTACGAACGTTCGACTGGCGAACTTTCAGAGATTACGAACAAACCAGTCCGTATGTCCAGTTGCCCGTCATTAAGTTAAAGAGTCGTTAAGTTCAACCTCCGCGCAATAGATGGCGGTGGTGGCATCTACATCTGCAGAACGTGAAGAACCAGTGGCATCTAAATCCGCAAAACGTGAAGAACCAGTGGCATCTACATCTATAGAACGTGAAGAACCATTGGCATCTACATCTGTAGACGTGACGAACCAGTGGCATCTACATCTGCAGAACGTGACGAATCAGTGGCATCTACATCTGCAGAACGTGACGAACCAGTGGCATCTACATCTGCAGAACGTGAAGAACCAGTGGCATCTACATCTGCAGAACGTGAAGAACCAAGTGGCATCTACATCTGGAGAACATGAAGAACCAGTGGCATCTACATCTGCAGAACGTGAAGAACCAGTGGCATCTACATCTGCAGAATGTGAAGAACCAGTGGCATCTACAGAACGTGAAGAACCAGTGGCATCTACATCTAAAGAACGTGAAGAACCAGTGGCATCTACATCTGTAGACGTGAAGAACCAGTGGCATCTACATGTGCAGAACGTGAAGAACCAGTGGCATCTATATCTGCAGAATATGGAGAACCAGTAGTAGTGTAGTAGTAAATAGTAGTGTAGTATTTAATGCAGTATAGTAGTCTATAACGTATAGTAGTACTGTACATGCCGTACAACACGTTTGGAATCGACGAGAGTAAAGTTGGACCTTAGGAACAAATGGACTTACGAACAAAGTACCCCTGGAACCGTGCTCGTTCGTAAGTAGAGGCAGTCGCTATAACACCTGTCGTTTTGGGCACAGCGGCAGTCACCCATCCAAGGCGTTATATATCCAGGCTAGTAACCTGCTGAGCTTGCTACCTCTGGCGTGATGGAGCGTGCGCATTGCGGGTGATTGGTTCGGGGTTTTCGGGGTTCGCAGCTTCGCCGCGTGTCCGTCCCATTTGAAACGGCAGCACGCCTGTGAAATGATTCGCTTCTTGTCGATGGTTGCGCGCGTGTGTGTGCTTTCTCTCTCTCACTCACTCCACTGCTGGATGAAAAGCCCTCGTGCATACGTGTCGCGTGACCCACGCAGCCACTAGAGGCCGCTACATCGCCACGATTTTACGAGTCGAGGTGGGGTGAATATCACATCCAACCAAGCTCAAATTCCGCTTAGCTTAGCTTATTTTACCTTTTCAAATCATATTCATCAGCGAGATGGTTCGAAGATGAGCTCTTCTAAATATTCATGTGCATTGTGATTTATATGGTTTTATACTGGTAGGAACCTCCTGGTTACACCAGCCCACAGGGGATTATTGTGTCCGTCCGTCGTGCATCCAAAAATGGGAGGGGTGGGGCTGGGTGGGGAGGGAAGGGTGGGGAGGGGCTGGGTGGGGAGGGTGGGGCTGGGTGGGGAGTGGAGGGGTGGGGAGGGGCTGGGTGGAGAGGGTGGGGCTGGGTGGGGGTGGGGAGGGGTGGGGAGGGGGCTGGGTTGGGGAGGGTGGGGCTGGGTGGGGGGTAGGAGGGGTGGGGCTGGGTGGATGGTAGGAGGGGTGGGGCTGGGTGAGGAGGGGCTGGTCACCCCGTGGTGCCCTTATAAAACTCAACGTTTAACCTACTCACGCCGGCTTGTGCCCGCCCTCACAGTCGGGCATATTTGCGGAATGCACCACGTGGTGCCGCCATTGACCCTGGCCATTGACCGAGCAACCCAACGTTCCTACCAGCTCCCTCCGCAGGAATGTGTTTTTATTTTGTGGAATTTCGAGATATGTACTCTACAAACAGGATATCTATCTACAGTACAGAGGGTAGGCATAGCGAGAGAACGGCGGAACAGGTTTACTTTACGCCTACTTCAGAATTTTTGTCTTGCTGTGGTTGTTCCACCTGATGAAGATCGCTTGTGTTGCGATCGAAACGTCGTGATTCGTTTCATTCTATTTTATTTCTACCTACGTGACTTTACCGAAAGAACCAAAGAGTATGGAACAGGTTTGTCAAGATGATCTTAATAATAAACAGTAATGTGGCGATCTTCTTCTTCCTCCTACAGGCTGATGATGTTAATGGCCAGAGCAGCATCTGTACATCGAGGTAGTTGATGGGCCAAATGATTGCGTCAGGAGTGGTGGATGGTGGTGAATCGTCGCGGCTGTGATGATGGTGGTGATGCATCCTGCATGTAGATCTCGATGTGAGTCCGTGGGTCTCTATGTGAGTCTATGGTTCTGTATGTACATCTATAGATCTCTGTATATGCCTATGGGTTTCTGTGAATCTATGGGTCTCTATGTGAGTCTATGGTTCTGTATGTGCATCTATAGATCTCTGTATATGCCTATGGGTTTCTGTGAATCTATGGGTCTCTATGTGAGTCTATGGGTCTCTTTGTGAGTCTTTGGGTCTCTGTGTGAGTCTATGGTTCTGTATGTGCATCTATAGATCTCTGTATATGCCTATGGGTCTCTGTGAATCTATGGGTCTCTATGTGAGTCTATGGGTCTCTTTGTGAGTCAATGGGTCTCTGTGTGAGTATATGGTTCTGTATGTGCATCTATATAGATCTCTAGATGCGTCGATGGGTATGCGTGGATCTGTGGGACTCAGTGTGAATCTTTAGATCTATATGTGAGTCTATGGGTCTCTGTGTGAGTCTATGGGTATATGCAAGTCTATGGGTCTCTGTGTGAGTCTATGGTTCTATGCAAGTATATGGGTCTCTATGTGAGTCTATGGGTCTCTTTGTGAGTCTATGGGTCTCTGTGTGAGTCTATGGGTCTCTGTGTGAGTCTATGGGTCTCTGTGTGAGTCTATGGGTCTCTGTGTGAGTCTATGGGTCTCTGTGTGAGTCTATGGGTCTCTGTGTGAGTCTATGGGTCTCTGTGTGAGTCTATGGGTCTCTGTGTGAGTCTATGGGTCTCTATGTGAGTCTATGGGTCTCTTTGTGAGTCTATGGGTCTCTGTGTGAGTCTATGGGTCTCTGTGTGAGTCTATGGGTCTCTATGTGAGTCTATGGGTCTCTTTGTGAGTCTATGGGTCTCTGTGTGAGTCTATGGGTCTCTGTGTGAGTCTATGGGTCCCTGTGTGAGTCTGTAGATCTCTGCCTTCTCCGTGTGGCTGATGTTGATGTAGAGAGCAGCGGCTGTGACGTAACACCGAGCTGGTTGATGAGCCAGATGATTGCGTCAGGGGTGGCGGATGGTGGTGAACCATCGCGATTGTGATGACCCGTCCGCCTCCTCCCCCTTCGTATTCGTGAATGGGACCTTCAGTCGTTCATTGTCCCACGGCAGTGTCCAGGCCGGTTGACCACACGTCTCCCTCCGCACACTGCCCGAAGAGATTTTAATTTCCTAAAGTGTCCATCGTCATCATCGTCATCGTCGAGTATCCACATGCTGATGGGGGTCCGCCGCCCCCCCCCCCCCCACCCACCCACACCTCCTCGTCGAGCAGCAGATAGATCATGGCTGATGGCGATTATGGTGGTGGTGTCTGTAACGGTGCTGTAGTCATTATCACAATTATCCTTCTCTCCGTCATTGTCACTCATGCGCGTAATATAGGCGAAGCTCGTTTGAATGGGATGGTTGTTTCAGTGACACGATTG